CAGTTAAGAAGGATTTTCAGGGTTTGACACTGGAAGCATCTCAGAAATTATCTACCAACCCATTCACTTTACCCATGAAGACCTAAGTCCTCAGAACTAATATGTGGCAGAGTCTTGTCCTAATTCAAACTTGATATCTCCTCTTTTTTTTTAAGATTTTATTTATTTATTTGAGACAGAGAGAGAGAGCACAAGCAGGGGGAGCGGCAGGCAGAGGGAGAGGGAGAAGCAGGCTTCCTGCTGAGCAGGGAGCCCGATGTGGGCCTCGATCCCAGGACCCTGGGATCATGACCTGAGCCGAAGGCAGACACTTAACCGACTGAGCCACCCAGGCGCCCCTTGATGTCTCCTCTTGACTCTTTGCTCTAACCTTAGTACCCAGGTACATACATCATAGATAATAAGTATCACTTGGCCTTCTGTATCAATCTGTGACTAGTTTTTTAATCTGTAGAATGAGAATAGTATTCATATTTACCACTTAGGATTCTAGTGAGGACTAAATGAGTTAGTACATAGAAAGAGCTTAGGTTAGTGCCTGAATTCATACATGTTAGTTTATTATTATTTTTAATTCTACTTCAGCATATCTTATTATTCAATTCTAAGCTAATATTTCTAAATACAGTTGATCCTTGAACAGTATGGGTTTGAACAGTGCAGGCCCACTTATATGCGAGCTTTTTTTCTTCTAATTTTATTATTTTTTATTATTATTTGGTTTTTTAGAGAGGGGGGCAGGTGGGGCAGAGGGAGAGGGAGAGAGAGAGAATCTTAAGCAGGCTCCATGCCCAGTGCAGAGCCGGTCATGGGGCTCAATCTCATGACCCTAAGATCATGACCTGAGCTGAATTCAAGAGTCAGATGCTCCACCACCTGAGCCACCCAGGTGCCCCTATAATGCGGGCTTTTTGAAGTACAGCACTGTAAATGTATTTTCTCTTCCTTAATTTCTCAATAACATCTTCTTTTTTCTAGCTTACTTGATTGTAAGAATACAGTATATAATACATGTAATATACAAAATATGTGTTCACTGACTGTTAGCCCTAAGACTTCTGGCCAACAGTAGGCTATTAGTAGTAAAGTTTTGGGAGAGTCAAAAGTTATATGTGGATTTTTGACTGTACAGTGGGTTGAGGCTCCTAACCCCTGTGCTGTTCTAGGATCAGCTATCCTTGCCATATTGACATTTTTGTCCTAAACATGGACTTAAAATATGAACTTCTTCAACTGATCTTATGCTGTTATTAATGTGTTAACTGAAGATGTTGCATATAATTTAAAAAGCACTGTCAGGGCGCCTGGGTGGTCTGCCTTTGGCTCAGGTCATGATCTCAGGGTCCTGGGATCGAGCCCCCGCATCGGGCTCCCTGCTCGGCAGGAAGCCTGCTTCGCCCTCTCCTACTCCCCCTGCTTGTGTTTCCTCTCTCACTGTGTCTCTCTCTGTCAAAGAAATAAATAAAATCTTAAAAAAAAATAAAAAATAAAAAGCACTGTGAAGTCTTCCCAGCCCCCCTTTCCTACCCAGAGACTTTGGCAAGGTCAGGTCACGCATTTTCCTTTGCTTCCAAATACCCTGTACATTGGCTCATTAGTGTTTCCCATTCCCACCCCTGCTATACTGTGGGAAACTTGAGGGCATAGACTAGTCCTGTTCATCTTTAATTGTCAGCTCTAAGCACTCAGTAGCTGGCACACAGTAGGTATTCAGCACAGATTTATTGTTGAATAAGTGAATGAATGCAGTATCTGCGTATTTATATTACTCCTCCCCCCCCCCCTTCTACCATCACCTTCAACTTTCTAATATGTCTATATTATACGTATTTTTTTCTGGCCTAACTTTTAATTCTTTCTCTAATCGATCATTGAGTTTATTTATTTTTTTTTAAAGATTTATTTATTTATTTGAGAGGGAGAGCGAGAGAGCACAGGAATACCAGTGCGGGGAGGGGCAGACGGAGAAGGAGGGAGAAAATCTCAAACAGACCCCCTGCTGAGCACAGAGGCTGTTGGAGCTCAGTCCCACAACCCTGAGATCATGATCCGAACTGAAATCAAGAGTAGGTCACTTAGCCAACTGAGCCATCCAGGCGCCCCTCTACCATTGAGTGTAAAACAAAAATATAAACTGTCAAATGCAGCCAGACAGCTGGATACATAGAGACCATAAAAAGGAACATGTAAGCAAAAATCAGTCAGAAGTCTCCAGTACTATGCAGGGGAGAAGGTGGTCCCATAATGAACAGATAATTCCAGCTCTTTAAGCAGCCCTAACCCTAGAGAGAGGACAGAGCAGGTGGCTGAGTGTCAGCTTTGTAGATAGACGCACCTGAACTTGAATGAGCAAGCTGACCTCTCAAACTTCTGCTTTACCACCAGCAAAATGGGGTTGATAACCGGCACCCTTCTCTTAGGGCTCTTGCAGAGTCTGAGGTCATTCATGTCCAGTGCGTGGCACAGTGAGAGACCTTGATAAGTATTAGCTGTGGAGGAAGGGCTGGCCCTCCACAGCCCCCGCCCTCACCCTTGAGGACATCCCATGCCCTTTATTCCAAATCTGTGATCACAAAGCATTTGGTCTCTTGGTTGGGCCTGAGAATGAATTCTGGGGATTGGTGAGGAATCTGTCCTTCTCTATGTGAATGTTTTTGCATTCTGGTTGATCACTTCCAAAAGGAATTTCTCAATTGAGGCTTGAACCTGAACTGACAGGGTTCAGGCATAGACCCCAGACCTGTGGGGGCTTTCCCTCTCCCCTCCCTCCAAACACACACATGAGATGCAGCCACCTGGAGAGAATCTGTCAGAAACAGCCAGGCATCTCTCACCATATAAAGAGCAATAGCAATCATTTTCATCATGACCATCATCATCATCATCATTGTCATAGGTTCATAGGGCACATGTGCATTAAGGACAAATGTGAGCCATTAGTACAAGAATACTAATTTAAAGGAAATAAGATCATTCATTTTAACTGTGTTCTCCACTCTCCTGAGCTTCGGTGAAATTATACAACCAAACAAGCAGCAGACAGACACCGGGTTGAACATGGTTACCAGAAAAACTCCCTGCCTTTGCTTTGTGATTGGCTGAGCATCTCCTGAGGGCAGAGAGCTTTTTAAGCAGCTGGTGCAAATGGATGCCTTTCTGAAATTAACCAGTTGATGAATGTCACGGGCATCAGGCTCCATTCCAGGGTTGGGCCAGCCTGTGCTCCAACTGCGTGTTTCCCTCATACCCTCCAGGGTCTATGACTAACAGGGAGATGAATGGTAGGGATGGGAGTGTTGGGTGGGGGGGAAGTTAGAAGGGAGCTACAAGATGCTCAGCCCTTGGGGGCTGGTGCTTTTCTCCCTTGTGCATCCTTGAATCTGTATGCAGGCCCTGCCATGTCCACAGTTTCTAGGCACTTGTTCATATAAGACCTCAGTCCAAGAGGAAGAGTACATGTGGTTTATGTATGTGGTACAAAGATCCTGTCTTTGGAGCAGGCGCACTTGACCTTGGCTCAGGTACTTATTCACTGTGTGAACTTGAGTCCGAATTTCCTCATCTGCTTATAGAAAAAATAAGACCTGCTTTACATAGGGTAAAGCAATAAACATATGTAAAAGCATATTTTATGCCACCTGGAACATACTGGGTGCTCAGTAAATGGTATGTTGATTATTGTTACTTTTATTGTTACTGAAGGAGCCAAGAAGGTCTAAATACAGATTTTACAGACCAAGAGTGTTGCTGTTAGAGACTTTTTTTTTTTTGGATTCTTCTCCTAATGGGTCTCCCTTCCTTCCTTCCTTTCTCCCTCCCTTTCTTTCTTTTTCTTTCTTCCTTTCTTTTTCTTTCTTCCTTTCTTTTTCTTTCTTTCTTTCTTTCTTTCTTTCTTTCTTTCTTTCTTTCTTTCTTTCTTTCTTTCTTTCTTTCTTTCTTTCTTTCTTTCTTTCTTTCTTTTCTTTCCTGAAGTATAGTTGACATACAAGGTGAATCCTTTTTTTAAAAACATATGGGTTTTGCCTATGCTGAGGTGTTAGTAATGCATATTAGCATATCTCACTTTTTTTATTCTTGACCTGAAAGAGGTGAAGCGTTATAATAGCAGCTCTGCTTACATCATGATGTTGCCTAAGGTTGAACCCATGCGCAAGGGCCACTAAAATGAGCCTGGTAGAGCGGGTGCCTGGCTGACTCTGTCGGTAGAGCATGTGACTCGATCTCAGGGTTGTGAGTTTGTGCCCCATGTTGGGTGTAGATATTACTTAAAAAAAAACAACAACAGCCAAAATGCATTTAAAAAAATAAATAAAATGAGCCTGGTAGAGTACTGTATTTTATACAAATGAGGCTGGTAACTGAGTTTCTCTAGGTAGACTTTGGAATGAGATCTACATGTGCAAATGCTTGTCAGTCCTGGTTGCTTCTGTCCTGACTGAGCAGCAGGGTGGGACCAGGATGCTCTTCACTTGGCTCTGGCCAGGTCTCTCTTGTGACCTCAGTCTCCTCATTTGCAAAATGAGAGGGTTGCATTTTAATGGTGACAGACCCCAGGAGTGAAGAAGAGGAGTGGTTGGAAGAGCAGATCAGAGATGAGTCCAGGGCTAGTAAATCTGGTTATGAAGAGTAGCAATTTCTGCTTCCCAAAGGACCTTAGGAAACCAGACTCAATATTTCTGAGGCCACCTTGGAAATGTTATAGCCCACTCCCGAGAAGGCAAAACTATGTGTGTGTAACCCAAAGAGGCAAAGGTTGTATAAGGCTAAACCACCACCCAGAGAGGGAATTAGATTTCAAAGCCTCCGAGTTTAGCCACATGCTGCACCTGTCTCCTTCTTTCTTTCTATTAACACAGGCTGCCCCTCAAACACCTATTGACCATTAATTCATAGCCAGCAAATCAGCAAACCTGCTGGTACTACTGTTTGCAACCTAAGAATTTGTGCAATAAAGTGTATTCTTCTTAGGGGTTGTTAGCATATCCCAAGGCCAATTGTTGATGGACATCAGCTGGTTACTGGACTTCCGCTATGACAAGTAGGTCCATCTAATAATACTTGCCCCCATGTGTTCCCTTGGCTCTTGACCCCTGCCATGGTGTAGTTACGACGTGCACTGAGCCTCTTCTCAAGTCCAATTCCTCTGTGCATTGCTCAGTGATGTCGAGCAAGAGCCCTGGAATCAGAGAAGCCGGTTCCTGTGCCCACTCTGCTACGTACCTGCTGCGTGACATTGGGCACATATGCTCCTTCTTAGCCTCAGCTATATCATCTGCAAAATGGGCAATAGCAACTCCGTCCCAGGCGTTAAAAAACAAAACCCAACTGAGTACATTTCAAGATCTAATTGGCTTCATTAACCAATTCATTAATCGTGCAGCATCCTGTTTAGCAAGTACAGAGATGCTTCAAGGAGATGCAGAACATGGAAGATTTTTATAGGAAGGACAGTGGGAAAAGAGAGTTATCAGCAACAGAAAAGAAATGATTGTTCCAGGCAAGATCACATTCCCTTAGGGGGAAAGGCAGGGGGTCTTATTAGGCGGATTACCTCATGTTCCTTTAGGAGATGGAGGGGGCCCCCGTGACCCATTACCTCATTGGTGTATATCAGAAAATTCCGGACTGACAGGCTAACACTTACATTTCTGGGGAAGGTTGGAACTGCAATTAGGTTAAGTATTAAACCTGGGGTTTGGTGACTTGGCCTGGCCCAAGTGATGACATTTTGGGCCTGTGGTTTTCTTTTTCACTCAGGCCAGTTGCAAAGATCAGTCAAGGTCACCTGCAGGAAAAACTCATTGCAAACTGTAGGGCTCTGTGGACCTGCGAGCTCCTTGAAGCCTGATCAGTGATTTTGTTTTTTGTTGTATATAATATGTAATGCAGTGGTTCTCAACCACATAAGAATCATCTAGAGAGTTTTTAAAGAATACCAAGGCCTGGGCTCCACTCTCACTCATTTAATTGGTTTTGGGTGGAGCCCTGACGTTGGTATTTTTAAAAGATCCCAGGTGATTTTCCTGTGCAGCCAGGGCTGAGAACTACATTTGGCTCAGAGCTGGAGGCTCAGTTCTGCTGGATGAATGAATGATTCTATTTTTTTTTTTAAAGATTTTATTTATTTATTTGACAGAGAGAGACCAGCGAGAGAGGGAACACAAGCAGGGGGAGTGGGAGAGGGAGAAGCAGGCTTCCCCGCGGAGCAGGGAGCCCGATGCGGGGCTCGATCCCAGGACCCTGAGATCATGACCTGAGCCGAAGGCAGACGCCCAACCATCTGAGCCACCCAGGCGCCCGAATGAATGATTCTAATTATGACTTCCTCTCCCTGTCCTTTGGAGAAGTATGCTTTGTACCGGACGGAAGGATGTTTCCTGTGTCGGGTTACACTCAGGTGCCTGGCTATTTCTAGAACTGCTTTGCAAGAGCATCTGGACTTTCATGTTCAGAAGGTGCTCACAGTGACTGACATTCTGGTGGGCAGCACCTCTGAAGGCTGGGGTGGGGGCTGGTCTTGCAGCTGCTGTGTGGCCACTGGGCTGGCATCTTTAAGTGGCAGCTGACCTGGCTTGTGGTAGGTGGAAGAGAACTGGGTTTCCCTGGCCTCTGATCTACTCCTGCCAATTAGGTCAGGTCAGCCTCTGGCTATGTTACATGCTTTAGGAAGTTCCTGGAGGCTTTCCCCTTATTTACCTTGTGGAGGCACTTCAGTCAGGGTTTTTAATAGAACAACTCAACGTGAAATTAAGTTTCTGGGTGAGCCGGTCGTGAAGCGCACGGGTGTTATGACCCCAACTTTAGATTTCTTCATTTCAGCTTCTGACCCCTACTTCCTTCCAGGAAGAAGTCTTTTAGAGCATTCAGTCAGCCGCAGTGTGCGTGCATGCATGCATGCGTGTGTGTACGCGAGTCTTTCTCTCATACACCAACTACACCTTGTTTCTTTTTTATTTGTTTGTCAGAGAAAGAGTACAAGCAGGGGGAGTGGAGGGAGAAGGAGGCTCCCCACTGAGTAAGGAGCCTGATGTGGGGCTCTATCCCAGGACCCCAGAATCATGACCTGAGCCGAAGGCAGATGCTTAACCAACTAAGCCACCCAGGCGCCCCTACGCCATGTTTCAATACATCACATTTACTACAGATAGGTGTGTGGGAAGTCCTTCTTCTTTTTCCCCATCTCCAGGCCTGTCCTCTTTGAGCTTTCCTCCAGAATTCCTTCCAGATCCCTCAGTCAGGAGCAGCCACTCCCTTCAGAACTCCGGGGAGCCCTCTTTTTATGGCACTTCGCACATTCTCATTTTTTGCAAGCACCTCAAAGAAAAGGGGCACAGCGAAATCACAGGCAGAGATGAACTTAAACACCAGCATTGCCACTTACTTGCTGGTCAGACTTGGGCAAGTTAATTAACCTCTCTGGTCCTCATCTCTAAAATCAAGCCAGGAAGGCCTGACCTGGAGGACTGCTGGGAGAAGAAATGAGCTAAGATAAATAAGGTGATATAAGCAATGTCTGGAGCAGAATGGTGGTTGCTGTTGGGGACAGGGCTCGCTGGTGTTCTAAATCCCCAGCACACTCCTTTGTGCATTGAACAAGCTTCACAAACACCCACTGACTGGGGCTGGGTGAAAAGATCCTGGGATCCAAATCCTAGGACACTGACAAGGAAGACACGCTCTTTACCAACCTCCTTGTTAAATTAGAAAGATATATACACAGATATATTCTCTGGTTTTGTTTGTTCTGTTTCTTTAAGCGCTCTACAGTGCTATTTACGTCCTTCACTCTGCGGCAGAGAATTATAACCAGACAGGGTCATTTGGAGTGATTACTGAAAGGTGCTTCACGAGGATGAGCTAGCTCAGAGAGGAACCAGCGTCTTGTCAGGAAGAGAGGAAGGCCTGGGCATTTGGCAAATGTTTACTAAGTGGCAGGCCTCTCAACTCGGCCAGCTTACCAATGTAACATGATACATGGCTTGGCAGAAGCACTCGTACCCATAATACAGGTCAGGACGCTGATGTTCAGACAAGCTGGGCAACTGGACCAACTACACAAAATGGGACACAGCAAACCCGGGGATTCTTGGCTCTAAAACCCCCACTCTTGCCATGATATCACACCGAATTTTGTACCAGAGGACCTGTGATAGACTTGTGATTGTCACTCACCAGCCAGTGGCCTTCTTTCTGAGGCTCCAGTTTCCTCCCTCGCCTCAAGGGAGGGAGTGTTGGGCCACTAGGTGATGCTGGCTGGTTCTCCGGTTTGGGTCTCGGTGGCCAGCTGGCTGTACCTGTCACCGCTAGTCTCTGCGGCCCTCTAGCGGTGCTTTGGAGGATGTGGAGTGGCACCTTACCTTCCTGTTGCCATATTCACAGAGGGCAGATGCGGGGTGTCTGGGAGCTCGGCACCCTAAGGCCTTCACTGATGACCAAGACAGATGATGGGGCTCAGAGGAACCCTAGAGACAGAGATGAAGAGACCGGTCCAGAGCACTGCTATTTTAATTTTAATTTTAATTTTTTTAAGATTTTATTTATTTGAGAGAGAGAATGAGATAGAGAGAGCATGAGAGTGGGGAGGGTCAGAGGGAGAAGCAGACTCCCCGCTGAGCAGGGAGCCCGATGTGGGACTCGATCCCAGGACTCCAGGATCATGACCTGAGCCGAAGGCAGTTGCTTAACCGACTGAGCCACCCAGGCGCCCTAGAGCACTGCTATTTTTAAAACTTTGGTCCTGTTTGTTCTACGCTGTATCGGGAACTCTCACTCATTCTTGAATGATAAAGAGTGAAAACCCCAAATGTGGATTAAAATTTTCATTTTAAATCCATTTGTGGGATGTACATATACCTGCCCTTGCTTGCCTCCCACCGGCTCTATACCATCAGGCTATCTTGGCGCCAGAGGGAGTGCCGAGAAGACGCGTGGTAGCCAGCACACGCAGGGTCAGAGTCTGGCTTTGCTGCCTGTGCACCAGCCGTGTGACTTCACTGGTCATCTCACCTCTACACGCAGAACGTCTAATCGACAAAATCAGGGGATCGGTGGTAGAGCCCTTGCAAAGTCTGACCTCTTATGCGCGTGCCTGGAGTGACTTCTTCTTTAGAATGGCAGAATTTTACCATCCCATCCAGTCTTTCATTTGGCTATTCTTGCCAATGGAAACATGCTTTTCTGAGAGTTGGGATAGAGGATGTTAGGTAAGGATCTTATTCGAAGCTATAAAGCAGAGTAAGGGGAGCAAGCATGGCCTCATGTTCCATCTGCATGCTGATGATGCTCACTTCTCCATGCACCTTTCCCCTGAGATCCAGACCTAGCACCTCCCTGTTTACTCCATTTGGAAGTCTAACAGATATTTCAAACGTAACATGGCCAAACAGAGCTACTGATTCCCCACTCACAACTATATTCCCACATCTCAGGCTACCTCACCTTAGCAAATGGTACCACCATCTACCCAGGAACTCTGAAAGCCCTATTGGATTCCTTTCTTTCACTCATATCCCTGCACCTAGGCTTTCAATAAACCCTTTGGCTCTACCTATAAAATATATCTCAAAGCTGACACTTCTCCCATCTCCACTGGCTGCTAGAACACATCATCTTCTCTCTACCATCATAACCTCTCTAAGAGGTTACAGCCACAACCTCTTTTTTTTTTAATTCTTAATATACTATTTTATTTTTTTTATTATTATGTTATGTTAATCACCATACATTACATCATTAGTTTTTGATGTAGTGTTCCATGATTCATCATTTGTGTATATCACCCAGTGCTCCATGCAGAACGTGCCCTCTTTAATACCCATCACCAGGCTAACCCATCCCCCCACCCCCCTCCCCTCTAGAACCCTCAGTTTGTTTTTCAGAGTCTATCGTCTCTCATGGTTCATCTACCCCTCCGATTTCCCCCCTTCATTCTTCCCCTCCTGCTATCTTCTTTTTTTTTTTTAACATATAATGTATTATTTGCTTCAGAGGTACAGATCTGTGATTCAACAGTCTTGCACAATTCACAGCGCTCACCAT